TTTTTCCAAAAAAAGTTTGTCAGTCTCTGGTTTGTATTAGGAGCAAATAATTTTTTTGTGGTGCTCATGAGGCGCTGTGTTAGAAGAGTTATCTTTTCATTGATCAACAATAGCAAAACCCAATTTCGAATGTCTTACCGGCTGCTTAATTTGCATAAATGATGTTTTCAGAAGGAATTTTTGTGGATGTGTATAGTTATTCTTTTTTGAGGACACTCCCTACTCTTCTCTTCTACTCTGAGGATACTCTTCGATGTAGTTTTCCCGCTCACCTGTTATATGTGCAGCACTTCAAAATTTTCTCCAAATTCTGTTATTTCTGAAAAAAAAAAGATTTTCGAAAGTGGGATCACCTCACCAACAGCAGCCACTCGCTGGCATTCTTGCAGTCGCTTCCTTATTGTTGCAGTTCAAAATAGTAACTATGTATAATGCAGGGAAAATTTGCAGGTGAAGCAGGCATCGTTTATCTATTGGTTCTTTGGCACAGGTTGGGAGGAAAAATATGGCTCTTTTGACAAGTATCAAGCAGCACCAAACAAAAAAGTAATTGCTTGGTGTTATGCTAATAGTTTTTGTTTCTGAAATTGCCGTCTTGTCCATGAGTACCCTGACGATTTCACATCTTTTCGGCTTTTGGTAGTAAACCACAAGCAGCCATTTGTAAATTCAGGACCGGTTGTTGCAGATGGTGGCACGATGCGTGGGACCAGACGCTGGGTACGTTGCCACGTCGGAATGTGTCCTAGCCGCAGCGTTATCATTGCTCAGTGATGCTGACAAACTGCCAGCAGGGTGTGTTTCTTGATTCACACAGCGATAGATAATTTAAGTGCTTCATTACGCAGTGCCTGGAGCAGAAAAAAGCTGAAAAGGTGCGCGTAGATTGCACAGGTGGTATTTTACGAAGTATAAACTCAAAGCTGGATATTTTATTTCTGAAAGGCCGTACTTGCCTCAAAATCGATCAAATTGGTCTTGCTTCCGTGCCAAAAAATCTAGAAATTCATCAATCTAAAACCTGTCCACTGAGCTGTTGACTTCCGCTCCGGACTAGAATGTGAAGTAAGCTAGAATTGAAGAAATGCCAGTTGCGTTGGTAAGGAGAGGGACAGTGTGTTTGTTTTTACCATTTCTACGTGAGCGAAAGGTCAATTCGACGAGTGACCGGTGTCATGCTGTCGCTGCTTCCATG